CTTGAGTAGCTGGGACTACAGGCACATCTCACCATGCCCAGCTACTTTTTTTGTACTTTTTATAGAAACGGGGTCTCACTTTGTTCCCCAGGCTGGTGTTGAACTTCTGGGCTCAAGTTATCCTCATGTCTCAGTCTTCCAAAGTGTTGGGATTACAGGCATGAGCCACCATGCCCAGCCTGAGACAGTAAGTTTTGATTTATTCTAGAAACATTGCCCAATGCCCTGGCATTCTGATCTTGATTCTGCATGATTGGTGAAGATGGGTCCTATCTGGATATGCCTCCCATGGAGATTCTGGGAAAACAATAATTATTTGCTGGGGTGGAGACTATAGTGAGGTAGGTAAGGTGCATAGGGAGTAAAATGTTAAGAGCCAGTCACTCTCTGGGGCTTGTAAGCACCTCCTTCAGTTTTGCACCCTAGGCACCTCACTAGACTCACCTTCTGGTGTGCCCATGTTTACCTAAGCTATTTTATTAGCATGACCATGTGAAGAAGCCTGGATACAAATTACCAGCAGGTTATGGATTTAGAGTCTGGATGAAATTCAGTAAGCCCTTTAAAAGTTTAGGCTACATAAAAATGAAGTTTAACCTGGCTGGTAGGGTATAAGTTGGGTCCACCTAATATTCTGGAAAGAAATTTGCCCACATGTATCTGGAGCTTTCAATGTTTTTGTTCCATTTGATCCATACCACTTCAAGGAGTCTATCCTAATTAAATAATTATGTATGTGAACAACTCTTTTTATATACAAAGACGTACAAACAGATTATTTGTAATAACAAAGAGGAAGCAACCAAATGTCTGTAAATAGAGAAAAACACTTAAGTGGTAGCACACTGTGCATTAATTTACATATTTGCATTATTATGCAGCCAATCAAATGATAATTCTATTGACTTTTAAAATAAGTAAACATGCAGACAATATTATATTAAATACAATAAGGTTATAAAACCATATGTATAGCATAATTCCAAACTACTTAGTATTCAGTATATGCTTACCAAAAAAGACAAGAAGAAAATACACAAAAATGTTAACAAGGTTACTTCTGGGTTTGGAGATTACGGGCAATTCTTGGATGTTTTAAAATTTTTTTTCTCTTTTTTTTTGGTAAATTTAAATAATAGTTATATGTGTCTTTCATAACTAAAGAAATGAAAGTTTTTAAAAGTAAAATTACAAAGAAATTTTATTTCACTCTCTAAGATCAGTAACAAGACTCACTCTCACCACTTCTATTCAACCATAGTACCAGAAGTCCTTGCCAAAGCAGTTAGACAAGAGAAAGAAAGAAAAGGCATAGAAATAGGAAAGAAAGAAGTGAAATTGTTGCTGTCTGCTGATGACATGATCTTATACATAGAAAACCCTAAAGACTTCACCAAGAAAACTGTCAGAACTAATGAACAAATACAAGAAAGTTGCAGATTCAATTCAACATGCAAAAATCAGAAGTGTTTCTATACACTAGCAACAAACTATCTAAAAAAAGAAATTTAAAAAATCCAATATACAGTGGTTACAAAAAAAGACTAACTAATAAACTTAACTGAGGAAGTGAAAAATTTGTACAATGAAAACTGTAAAACACCAGTGAAAGAAATTAAAGGAGACACAAATAAATGGAAAGGTATGTTCATGGGTTGAAAGAATTGATATTGTTAAAATGTCCATACTCCCAAAGTGATCCGCAGATTCAATGCAATCCCTGTCAAAACTCCAAGTCATTTTTCATAAACATAAAAAAACCCTGAAATTCATATGGTACCACAAAAGATCCCAAATAGCCAAAATGATCTTGAGCAAAAAAAACAAAGCTAGAGGCATCACACTACCTGATTTCAAGCTATATTACAAAGCTATAGTAATTAAAACATCATGGAACTGGAATATAGATGAACACATTAACCAGTGAAACAGAAGAGAGAGCCTAATAATAAACCCATACATTTACAATCAATTGATTTTCAACAAAGGTCCTAAAAACACACAATGGAAAAAAAAAGTCTCTCCAATAAATATGTTGAGAAAACTGGATAACCGCACGCAGAAGAATGAAATCGGACCTTCTATCTCACACCATATACAAGAATCAACTCAAAATGGATTAAAGACTTAAGTGTAAGACCTGAAACTGTAAAACTGATAGAGGAAAACATAGGAGAAAAGTTACACAATATTGGTCTAGGGAGTGACTTTTTTGCATTTGACTCCAAAAGCTTGGGCAACAAAAGCAAATAGACAAATGAGATTACATCAAACTAAAAAGTTTCTGCACAGCAGAATCAATAACTACTGCGGTGAAGAGACAATCTGTAGATTGGAAGAAAATATTTGTAAGGCATACATATCTGATAAGGGGTTCATATCTAAAATATAGAAGAAAAACAACTCAGTAGCAAGAAAACGAGTAACCTGATTAAAAATGGGCAAAGGACTTGAATAGACATTTTTCAAAACAAGGCATACAAGTGGCCAACAGATATATGAAAAAATGCTCAACATCATTAGTCATTAGGGAAATGCAAATCTGAACCACAATAATATATCATCTCACACCAGTCAGAATAGCTATTATCAAAAAGATGGCCAGGCATGGTGGCTCATGCCTGTAATCCTGGCACTTTTGGAGGCCAAGGTGGGAGAATCACTTGAAGCCAGGAGCTTGAGACCAGCCTGGGCAACATAGTGAGACCCTGCCTATAGAAAAAAATTTTTTAGATTAGCCAGGTATTCATAAATTAATGAAACTATTATAATCCAGCCTAAGTAACAGGGCAAGACCCTGTCTCTAAAACAAACAAAAAACAAAACAAACTTAAAAATATGAACAATAACGAGAATTGGCGAAGATGTGGAGAAAAGAAAATCCTTGTAACACTGTTGGTGGAAATGTAAATTAGCACAGCCTTTATGGAAAACTAGACGGAGGTTCCCCTAAAAACTAAAAACAGAATTACCATATGATCCAGCAATCCCATGTCCAGGTACATATCCAAAGGACTTAAAATCAGTTTGTTGAAGAGATATCTGCACTCTCATTTTCATTGCAACATTATTCACAATAGCCAAGTTATAGAAACAACCTAAGTGTCCATCAATGGATGAATGGATAAAGAGAATGTGGTATACAATGCAATACTATTCAACCTTAGAAAAAGAAATTCTGTCATTTGCAACAGCATGGATAAACCTGGAGGACATTAGGCTTAATGAAATAAGCCAAGCATCAAAGACAAATACCATATAATCTCATTTGTATGTGAAATCTAAAACAATAGAAATCATATTAACAGAGAGCAGAATGATGGTTACCAGAGGCTGGGAGATTGAGGGTATGAGATGTTGGCCAAGAGGTAGTTTCAGTTAGACAGGAGGAATAGTTTTTTGAGACATATTGCACAGCAGGGTGACCATAGTTAAAAATAGTGTATTGTATATTGCAGAAGTGCTGAGTAAATTTCAAATGTTCTCACCACAAAAAAATAGTAAGTATTTGTGGTAATGGATACATTAATTAAACTTAATCATTCCACATTGCATGTATATATCCTTACATCATTTTGTATGTACCCCATTAATATATACAATCATAATTTGTCAATTAAAATATAAATGTTTAAAATAAATTATTTAAAAGAAAGTCTATTTCACTCTCTTAGACTTCTTAATCACCGATATTTGTGAATAGGTTGCCACTCTAACTCTGACTTGGGAAAAGTTTTTGATGAAGACCAACAGAGTTTGTTGTTGTTGTGGCTTTTAATCCCTATAAGCACATTTGGATCAAATAATCTCTATGGCTGTACCACTCCACAAGTTCCAGTGTTTGCCCAAGCACCTTCTGACTCTGATGGTAATAGGGCACAGTGGCCTCCCTTAGTATCCCAGGGCTCACCATGACCACTGGATATTTCAGCTCCTAGTTTTGCGATGTTGTTAAGAACAGCTTGAAACAATGCTGTGAGCTACAGCTGGCTGTCTGGGAGCCCATGTGAGGAGGGCTCCCTCCAGCCCCAGAGGGAGGACACTGAGGCGCTAGACACACAGCCCTCCTCCTAACCCCAAACTCCCAAAAGCTAGATTTCTTTTCATATTCACTGATCTCTCAGACTCTATTTATATTTACACTCAAAGAAAGGTGAAGTTCAATTTGAAGCTAAGGCTAATAAAGGACCAAGAATCAACAATGCCCTACTGTCTCCATTTCCTCATCAGTACAAAGACAGCACTGGATTAGGTTGTCTCCAAGTCTCCTGTATTATTGACTGATGTGGGGCAAGCAGGTGTGCATCCCAGATAGACATTGCCAGTGCTGCCATCAGAATGGCCCAGGCTAGGCCGAGTGCTAAGGGGCTGGTGGGGAACCTGGTTTCCTGTCTAAGCTCCCTCTGCAAGTGCTGGCAGACAGGGCAGCACGCACCTTTGGTGTTGACCACAGGCAAACACTTGCCTGCAGGCACCTCCGTCCATGGCCCTCCCAGTTTACAGGTAGTGGACCATCTAATAATGATCCTTCTAGTCATACAGCTTGGAGAAAGCTGTTTTCTTTTAAAATATTAAAAAGTGATTCACAAATCTAACAGAAATAATTACAGCAGAATCATTCTCATGAAATATAGGTCCCATTAGTAATTTGAAAATTCACAGATTTGTTCTAACCCTAGGACACAGACAGCAAATAATTGCCCTTGATTTTTTTTTTAATGTGCATATATTCTATTTTCCAGAACCTACCTTTCACCTAGGACAATTCATAAGGAATATAAAAATATGCACTGATAATCTAATCTAGCATCATTTAAAAAGAAAACGTAATTCTAACCTTCTAAAAGCAGGGCAGCAGGAGAACAAAGGGAAAGGGAAGAAAAAGGCATCTACACAAAACACCATATGCTGGAAATGATGCTCAATTTCTAGAACAATACTGTAAGCTCACTTTGCGCACCCTCTTTTCCTAAATCCTCTATCCGTAAATGTCCACTCACCTGCCTTTCTTAGACATCTCGTGGACTTCTCTTCCAGGCCAGTGCACTCTGCTTTCAGTGGCCAAAACCCATCCCCACCACAAAAGAAAGATGCCAAATTTCATATTTGGGACAGTCAACATGGGTTTCCAAATTCAAACAGCTCTCTCCAGAAACAGCAAAAAGGAAAATGTTGTTCTTTTTCTCTCTTTAAGACATTATTGGTCTGCTCATTATTAGAAGGATGTTTACTCATGCAAAAAAAATCAACCCACAGGATGCAATCTGGAGAGCAGGAGAAAGCAATTTCCACTAAACCTATAAATCCTCCTACGTCAGATGTCAGGGATTTTCTGAACTGAGGTTGAATTCCTGTGTCCCAGTGGAACAATTATTTTGGCCAGTCTAAATTAGTTCATCATCAAATGTGGTAAAAATGTTGGTGAAAGTCTTACTTTCTGGTGCATTGAATAAAAGGAAAGTAAAAATGGACCAAAGCAGTTTCCAAAAGGAATAAGGCCAGAGGTGCAGAACTGCTTTCTATGTTCACATTAATGAGTTCCTCCCTGGATCTATTTTAAGCTTACAGCCATTATTATTTGCTTTAGCTGAGGGCTGGATTTGAACAGCTCCCTGCCCCCACTTCCTGTGGCTGAATCCCTGAAACCCCAGGGCCTGGTACCTGCGTGGGCTGTCTATATGGCTGAGATTGAGAGGGCAACTGGGGAAGAGGCTTTTTTGTCTTTGTTTGGCACAGAAATAAGTAAATTTCCTTGTCAGTTGCATTATTCTTATCATGAACCTCACTGCACTTTCCACATTTCAAAACTACCAGTAATAAATTAATTTTAGCCTCAAGTCTGTGTTATTTATAGATAGTTTTTCTTTTGCTTTGATGCTTACTTCAAGACTCTGCTATAATCTACAGGCTAGAGTTTGTGTCTTCATCAAAAGACAGTCTCAGAGCCTCGTGGAAGAGACTGTTCTAGGTACTCCAAACTATTATCTCTTCAAAGCTGAGCTGATATGGTTTTGATAACTTTCAGACTGTACTGGTAAACTGAGTCAGGATTCCCAGAACTCTATAGCTGAAAAGCAGTTTCACACAACTGCTAACCCAAGATACAACAGAATGAGAATTAATTACACAGGACTGAACGAATTGATGAGAGAAATTTTGTTGGGGTTATTTGAAATGTAGTTGTTTTAAGGTTCTGTTTCCAGATCGTAAGAAGCTTTGTCTTTCTCTTCTTATGCTATCTGTAATTCACAATAAGTTTTTAAATTCTGCTTTGATAAACCAAAATGAAGTATTCTTGAATGATATATGATTCTCACTGACACGATTCTCCTTGTTTGAATTCAGAAACTTACCCAGTCTCTTAACATTTCTTGGCAATATAGTTGTTTGCATAGGTTTAGTAAGAATCTGTCCTCCCTTTTGCCAAAATACAACTGGAAGTGAGAGGTGACAACGTGCTAGCAGCCCTTGCTCTCGATGCCTCCTCGGCCTCAGCATCCACTCTGGGGGCGCTTGAGGAGCCCTTCAGCCTGCCACAGCACTGTGGGAGCCCCTCTCTGGGCTGGCTGAGGCTGGAGTCACCTCCCTCTGCTTGCGGGGAGGTGTGGAGGGAGAGGCGCTGGCAGGAACCCGGGCTGTGCCAGACGCTGGCGGGCCAGTGCAAGTTCCAGAGGGTGCGGTCGCGGGCTTGGCTGGCACCGCTGGCCCAGGGCAGTGAGGGACTTAGCACCCAGGCCAGCAGCTGCAGAGGGTGCCGGCGGGCCAGTACTGCACTGGAGTTCTCGCCAGGCCTCAGCTGCCTCCCTGCAGGGCAGGGCTGGGGACCTGCAGCCCCCCATCTCCAAGTACCCGCCTCCCTGTGGTGGACTTCTGCACGGCCCAAGGCTCCCAGACGGGCGCTGCCCCCTGCTCCTTGGCGCCCAGTCCCATCGACCGCCCATGGGCTGAGGAGTGCAGGCAGGGCTCGGGACTGGCGGGCAGCTCTGCCTGCAGCCCCGGTGTGAGATTCACTAGGTGAAGCCAGCTGGGCTCCTGAGTCTAGTGGGGACTTGGAGAACTTTTATGTCTAGCTAAGGGATCGTAAACACACCAATCAGCACTCTGTGCCTAGCTCAGGGTTTGTAAATACACCAATCTGTACTCTGTGTCTAGCTCAAGGTTTGTAAATACACCAATTGGTACTCCGTATCTAGCTAACCTGGTGGGGACTTGGAGAACTTCTCCATCTAGCACTCTGCGTCTAGCTCAAGGATTGTAAATGCACCAATCAGCACTCTGTCAAAACGGACCAATCAGCTCTCTGTAAAATGGACCAATCAGCAGGATGTGGGTAGGGTCAGATAAGGGAATAAAAGCAGGTTGCCCCAGCTATAAATGGCCACCCACTGGGGTCCCCTTCCACGCTGGTGGAAGCTATGTTCTTTCACTCTTTGCAATAAATCTTGCTGCTGCTCACTCTTTGGGTCCACGCTGCCTTTAAAAGCTGTTAACACTCACCGTGAAGGTCTGCAGCTTCTCTCCTGTTAGCCAGACTACAAACCAACCAGAAGGAAGAAGCTCCAGACACAGCTAAATGTCTGAAGAAACAAACTCCGGACACACCATCTTTAAGAACTGTAACACTCACCGTGAGGGTCCGTGGCTTCATTCTTGAAGTCAGCGAGACCAAGAACCCACCTGTTCCGGATACATTTTGGCGACCACAAAGGGACTATTGCCTATCCCCAAGTGCTGACACTTTCGCCTATTGTGGTGAGACTTTCACCTATCACCAAGCAGTGGGACATTGACTATCACCTAGTGGTGAGCACCAACGGACCCCTTTCGCTTGCTATTCTGGCCTATTTTTCCTTAGAATTTGTGGGCTAAATACCGGGTACTTGTTGGCCAGTTAAAAGCGACTAGCGCGGCCACCGGACTTAAGACAAGGGTGTCAGGCTTTTTGGGAAAGGGCTCTCTAACAACCCCCGACCCTTTGGAGTTGGGAGCGTTGGTTTGCCCAGAACCAGATTCCGCTTTTGCTGTACTTCTGGGCTGAGCTGAGGGTCGACTGAGAGGAAAGTCATGCAGCTCCAGGGTCCTGACAAGTTGGTTGACCCTGCGGCCATGAGCAGAACTCTCAAAGGCATGTCACCCAAGTGAGACTCGCCCATCTATTCTATCTACTCTGACCCTTGCCCCTGGGTCCTAATGCCCGCCAGACAAACTTCCTCTTGCCTCTCTTCTCTGAGGTTAGTCCGCTTCTAAAAATCGCTCCCTGTCTCTGGTGGTTTTCTAGTTTCTCCTGTAAGAATGACTTCTAATATGAACTCCAAGACTCTGTTACCTTCTTTAGGCACCCAGACTCACCAATCAGAAAGACAGTTTTTGCTCAAAGCCCTGTCATAGCAGGGACTACCTGGAATTTCAGGATCCCTGCTCAGACTAACAGGCCTAACAGAAGCTATTCCTGAAAGCTAGGATATGGGGAGCCTCAGCGATTGTATCCTTACTTGTTCATGTAAGTGAGGACAAAAGGTGTCACTATTCCAACCCTGGAGATCCCTTCCCTCCCTCAGGGTATGGCCCTCCACTTCAATTTTGGGGTATAACATCTTTATAGGACAGGGGTAAAGTTCTAATGCTAACAGGAGAATGCTTAGGACTCTAACAGGTTTTCAAGAATGCATCAGTAAGGGCCACTAAATTCGATTTTTCTCAATCCGGTTCTCCATGTGGTCTGGGTGGTCAGGCAAGGGTACAGGGTTTCGAGAATGCATTGGTAAGGGCCACTAAATCCGACCTTCCTTGGTCCTCCATGTGGTCTGGGGGAAAAACTAGTGTTTCTGCTGCTGTGTCGGTGAGTGCAACTATTCTGATCAGCAGAGTCCAGGGACCATTGCAGGTTCTTGGGCAGGGGTTGTTTCTGCTGCTGCATCAGTGAGCGCAACTATTCTGATCAGCAGGGTCCGGGGACCATTGCAGATTCTTGGGAAGGGGGAGAAACAAAACAAACTGAAATCGCAGGCGGTTTTGTCTTTCAGATGGCAAACACTCAGGCATCAACAGGCTCACCCTTGAAATGCATCCTAAGCCATTGGGACCAATTTGACCCACAAACCCTGAAAAAGAGGTGGCTCATTTTTTCTGCCCTATGGCTTGGCTGCAATATTCTCTCTCTGATGGGGAAAAATGGCCACCTGAGGGAAGTACAAATTATAATACTATCCTGAGGCTTGACCTTTTTTGTAAGTGGGAAGGCAAATGGAGTGAAATACCTTATGTCCAAGCTTTCTTTTCATTGAGGGAGAATACACAACTATTTAAAGCTTACAATTTACATCCCACAGGAGGACCTCTCAGCTTACCCCCATATCCTAGCCTCTCTATAACTCCCCTTCCTGTTAGTGATAATTCTCTTCTACTCTCCCCTGACCAGAAGGAAATAAGCAAAGAAATCTCCAAAGGACCACAAAAACCCCCAGGCTATTGGTTATGTCCCCTTCAAACCGTAGGGGGAGGGGAATTTGGCCCAACCTGGCTACATGTCGCCTTCTCCCTCTCTGATTTAAAGCAGATCAAGGCGGACCTGGGGAAGTTTTCAGATGATCCTGATAGGTGTGTAGATGTCCTACAGGGTCTAGGGCAAACCTTGAACCTCACTTGGAGAGATGTCATGCTACTGTTAGATCAAACCCTGGCCTTTAATGAAAGAATGCAGCTTTGGCTGCAGCCCGAGAGTTTGGAGATACCTGGTATCTCAGTCAAGTAAATGATAGAATGACAGCCGAAGAAAGGGACAAATTCCCTACTGGTCAGCAAGCCATCCCCAGTATGGATCCCCACTGGGACCTTGACTCAGATCATGGAGACTGGAGTCATAAACATCTGTTGACCTGTGTTCTAGAAGGACTAAGGAGAATTAGGAAGAAGCCCATGAATTATTCAGTGATGTCCACCATAACCCAGGGAAAGGAAGAAAATCCTTCTGCCTTCCTCGAGCGGCTACGGGAGGCCTTAAGAAAATATACTCCCCTGTCACCTGAATCACTTGAGGGTCAATTGATTCTAAAAGATAAGTTTTATTAGCAAGTCAGCCGCAGATATCAGGAGAAAGCTCCAAAAGCAAGCGCTGGGCCCTGAACAAAAACAGTTGTGAGGGTTCCTTGGAATTACCGGCTTTTGCCGACTGTGGATCCCCGGATACAGCAATATAGCCAGGCCCTTCTATACTCTAATCAAGGAAACACAGAAGGCAAATACTCATCTAGTAGAATGGGAACCAGAGGCAGAAACAGCCTTCAAAACTTTAAAGCAAGCCCTAGTACAAGCTCCAGCTTTAAGCCTTCCCACAGGACAAAACTTTTCTCTGTATGTCACAGAGAGAGCAGGTATAGCTCTTGGAGTCCTTACTTAGACTCGTGGGACAACCCCACAACCAGTGGCATACCTAAGTAAGGAAATTGATGTAGTAGCAAAAGGCTGGCCTCACTGTTTACGGGTAGTTGTGGCAGTGGCTGTCTTAGTGTCAGAGGCTATCAAGATAATACAAGGAAAGGATCTCACTGTCTGGACTACTTATGATGTAAATGGCACAC